TTCTTCTCAGAGCTCAATTTTTTGTCCTGTGCCTCGTCACACACACACACTCACAGGAAAATGCACACATGCAATGCATATACACACACACATACACACACACACACACACACACACACACACACACACACACACACACACTTGCAGAAGCTCTTAGCAATATTTTGAAACATCTAACAATGCCAAGGCTGAGCAATTGGTTCCAGATGTCTTTGGAATTCACTTGGAATAGAAGCATGTGCCTCAGCTTTTCCGTGGGTGAGTCACCTTGCTCCCTGAAGAAGGCGGCACCAAGTCCTCCCAAGCCCCTTTCTGTTAGTAAGTTAGCGATGCTCAGTCTCCCCAACAGCTTTTGATAGTAAGTGAGGAAATGCCCTCAGAAATGCCTGTGAAATGTAAGGCGCTTGCAGCTGTGTCGCTGTTCGTGTGAACTGGACCTGGAATAACAGGAGCCAATGTAATGAAGGCTCTCTCCCCAAGATAACTGGCTTGCCATAGCAGAGCCATGCTAAGTCAAACCAAAACAAAGCAAAAGTGCTTGTCCGGCCTTTAGAAATATTGATTTTATTGATTATGTATTTATATCTTAAATGTGAGTTTCTAAAATGTTTCGTTAGAATCTGATTTGTTGTCAGTAAATTGCTGGTGGTTTTGGTCCCTCTTTAGGTTTTGCTCTGCTTCCTCAGCTTTGCCCCAGCTCTGGGCCATAAGTCTTGCCTGGGGCTTGCTACTCTTCAGTATAGATTGTTTTTCTCCCTTACCCCTGGTTGCAGGAAGAAGCAGCCTGCTGGATGTTTGTCTGTCTTGTTATTCCCACACTTGAAGGTATTACTCAAGCTGCTCATCAGCCTTCTTTACTCTTCCTTGAATTATCTAAATTTAACTGTTTCTTACAGTGCCTCATCTGCCCTGGAGAAACAACGCTTTCAGCTGGTTTTCAACATGCTTCCTGATTTCTGAACCTTTACCTATGAGAGACAATAATATTGACAGGAGAATGTTCCCTGAATCTCCTCACACTTTGAGTTGTAGTAGATCCTCTGTTGTGTTCCCTGTCCTAAAACTTGGGTGGGACCAGCTGGCCTGGTCATGGTGTAACGGATGCCATTATGGTATGTTATGGGACTTGTGTTGTCTGGAGTCCCCAGTTGTTGTTCTCATAACCTAAGAGTATGATCAACAGTAGAAAGAGGCCTTCAAACTAGGTCTCTAAGAACAACAAAGCCTTCTAGGCCAACCTGACTTTGGAGTTATGGGTCTGTCATAGTTATGGAAAAAGTTGATCATCTTATCAAAGGCTTCTGCATTTAGAAAGTGTCTTTTGACCTGGTGTCTCACTGATTTCTCTGCTTGGCTTATTTGTTCTTAAGAAACAACTACTTCTGAATGTCAACCAGTGTAAACGGGTGGTCACCTCCCCTGGCTTACAGGTGAGAGCCTGCATAACAGCATTTCAACTACATGCTAAGGGGTGGGACTGGGGGAGAGGCAGCTGGAATTTAAGGTGGCCACCTGGCTTCAGAGTTTGTCATGCCATGTCTTCTGCCTCTTGGGGACCCCCCAGATTGGTTTTGTTCTTGCAGCAGCCTGAGGAGCCTGATGTCCTACCTGTTTTCCACTTGAGAAATTGAGACTCCAAGAAGTAAAATGGTGGTATCCAAGCTTAAATTTTGTTTTTGACTGAGGTGAAATCCAGGAATAGCACAAGAGCCTCTCTGCTTGTGTTTCTCTCTGCAGCACCAGGGTGCTATCAGCAAAGGCTCACACCCAGATTTGCAGCACAGATTTTAAAAAAAGAAAAAGAACAAAAGGCAAAAAAAAAAAAAAAAAAAAAAGGATTTTCTTTAGGGATGTTAAAGGGGCAAATTGTGCATTCTTGCTAATGCTGATATGAGACTGAGTGAGAGATCACTGAGTGAGGGTGTTTTCTCGTGTCCCCAGTGCACGTCAAGCAACTCTGCTAGCTCGAGGAGAGATGTGCATGTTCACTTGACGAATGAGTAGTGAGCTTGTCCATCTCAGCCTGGCAGACTCCGAAAGCAAAGAAGCCGGACAGATTCCTGCTGTTGGGCAAGACCAGCTTGAATTCTACTAGCTCAGTTGCTGTCGTGCCTTTGCTGTGACCCACTTGCAGCTGGTCACTTTTATACATGTGTCAGGTCAAGATGGATGAGATTTACTTCGTTTTAATAAATATTAATAATCACCTTCATCTCAGTCAATCTTTCACACGAGACATTCAAATCACTACCTTATCATCTGAAACCCCCAGAGAGATGCACTCACTTTGCAAAGCTGTAAGAACTTCCCTGGCCTTTTGGACCTCATCTGGGCTGGATCCACATGATTAGTACCTGGGGAAAGCAAGCAGGTGCTTTGGACAAGTAGGGGGGTGAGTTGTATATATAACCCACTTTGAAATATTATCCTTCTGTATCCAGTTCTAATGTATTTGCCATCTGTCTGCCATTACTTTTGAAGTCACATTTTTATATATTAGTGATAATACCAGAAGGCAGTGTCTACTAAATGCTTATTATATTCAAACGATGAACTTCAGCATGACATTTCTCTCTCCCACTGAACATAAAGACATCACTCTAACCCCTCCCCCCTTACAGGGAGGCTGCTTGCCTTAGTCATATAACCACCAAATGACGTGGTCATATCCGTGTTCAATCTGGTTTGCTTGCATCTGATTTAATGTCAAGTGTGTTGACTTACAAAAACCACCTTGTCAAATGCAAAAATGGCTTGGATTAAATTGTATGGTTAGAAGAAAATTAGATCATGGGACTATGAGAAAAAGGAGAGGAGAGGGATTCTTTTTTTTAAAGTTGAGTGAATGGGGAGCCTATAAAGTGAATTTGAGAATCCCTTCTCATCCATTGGACGAGGCTGAATGGGCTTCTCATTCATGAGTCATTAGAGCTAGAAACTTATTTTACACATGAGGAATTCCAGGAACAGAGAAGGAAGTAACTTGTCCAAGGTTATCATAATCATAAACATTTTCATTATTTCCTCAGAGATTTGTTACCTCTTAGTTCTTCATGGCATATTAGGGTATATATACAGAGCAAATCTTAATAAGAAATAAAAAAAAATTTACTACAGCTCATTTTCTATGTGAATGTCACAGCTCAGTGGTGTTCAATGCACAGTCTGTCCTAGCAGATGGAAGCCTCAGAGCACTGACAATTTAGCACAATGACATCAGCACGATTATTCTCCAGAATCATCAAAACCTTCCGGTTTCCAGATCCAGAATGTGAGTGTGTCATTCTTGGGTGTAGGACTGTTCCCTTCAGTTTAGACGCAGTGTCTATGGCTCCTGTGTGTCGGAAGGAATTATTCAGTAGTGCGTACAGGGCTAGCCACTTACATGCTGCCCCCCTGACTGGACCATGAACTGCGCTGGGTCTTCACCTATGGAGACCACATGTTCTCAGCATTGTCTTAAGTGCCTCGTACTCACACCTCTACGTGTTTGTTGACTGAATGATGCAGATAAATAAATGAATGTAAAAATCCAGCCGTCCTTCTCATCTGTGGAGCGATGTAAAGCAAGGCTCACCACGCGCTGCAACATGAGCTTGACAAACATGGTATCTAATCCACATCACTATTATTGGTTCAGGTGTAGCTCTGTCTAGGCTGCTTGTGTTGAGACATTTGTGTGCTTTTCCAGCGTCAGATAGTCCTGCCTTGATTTACCAGCCAGGAAATAGTCAATGATTGCAAAGACCTCCTGCGCGTCTGTGTTATTCTTAGGAAAAGCAGTGGCATGAGGCAATGGAAAGACAAACTAGAAATTCCTTTAGATAGCACTGGGAAGGTGTTTGAGATATTTTTTGGTTAAGCCTGTGTCTTCCTATAAACATAAAATTTTCATCCATGATATTGTCGTGAAACCTCCAGCCACAGCGGATGCTCTAAAGATTGTCTGCTTCCCTTTCCTCACATGCTTATTGTGCTACCTGGCAAAGAGATAAATATGCTAAAGGCACCATCTTCCAGAATCTCATAAACACACAATGGCATTACTCAGCTGGTCTAAGACAACTGGTTCTCAAGTCACACAACCACACACAGCTTCCATTCTGGTTTCATTAGCTGCGTGACATGGATCCAGGTCCTTGGCTTCTCAAATTCTTGTGCCATCAAATGTAAAGTATGAGAAATGGCAACAATATTTATCATTCCAAGGTCCTGTATGGATTAAACAAGATCATGTAAATACCCAGTTGAAACCATGGTAAGGACAAAAATAATAACCATTATCTACTGAGCAGTGATCTTACACTTCTATATTTGTTTTCATAAAATACTATGAACCTAAACTTAGTCACTAGAAAGGTGGGGCAGTGAAATGAAAACACTGGGAATTTTTTTCCAGGAAAAAAAAAAATGTGGGTGGGGTGGAATTTGGGAAGAAACAAATGTTAGGACCAAAGACCAAGATGAATCATATTTTGGAATGAAGAACTGAGTAGAGAGAGATGAACAAGGACACAGGGAGGATGGCATACTTAACCTGGGACATGTGGAGTTTGGGGCTCTCAAAAAGGATGTGAAGGAAGGAAATCCATTTGGATGGGGAATCTTGTACCCAGGAGAGGGGGATATCAAAGTTAGAGAGAGCATCCACAAAATTATTTTATGTGTGGAAGCCAGTCTGGTGAACCCACTTTTGTACTGTTGTTGCTAAGGGTGAAAACCTGAAGAGAATAAGAGAATATATAAATCTTCTAGAACATCAGCTTTGGGGTTATTAAAATAAACAACCCAATGTGATGAACGGAACACTTCCTTCTAAAGTCCAGTACAACCCACAGGCTATGATTCACTTCTGGTCTTCCTTCTGTGTGAAGCTGGGTCTTAAAACCGCCTTTGAATGCATGTGGAATGAATTCTCAGCTCGGAAGCCACACCACCCCAGCATGCAGTGATGATGCCATGTCAAAGCAAAGTCAAGTAAAAACGCTATCTACATTTACCTACTCTGATCCCAATTGGCAGCAAACAGCAGCAGAATCTTCCTGCCGTAGTGGTCACGATTTTCCAGCACTCCAGGGAACCCGTCGATCAAAGCCCTCTTAATCCCGGGATCGTCTGCCTTGAAGTTTTTGAACATGTCCAGGTTTAGCTGGCGGTACTGAAAGTACTGGGCCAGGAGTCTGAAGGCATCGGCTTGGTGAAACTTCCTGGCTCGGAGAAATCGCAGGATGAAGGCATCATCTGTACGTAAAAACCCAATGTCCGGCCTGGTGATGATCATGTCTCTGACCTGTTGAATGTCCTGATGTAAAACGTCGGGGTTCTCATTCAGTTCCAATCGGGCTTTCTCTATAGTGTCTGGGCTGAGCCCAGCCTGCAAATGCGTCATCTTGGCCCAATCTCCTTCCCAAGTGCTTAAGCTCTGAGGTTTGGGAGGAACAGAAATTGGTCCCATTCACATGAAAGGGTGCTGAATCCGTGGCCCATTCAACGGTTCTCCTACAAGACTGCCCCCAAAACAGACAGTTGCAGAGTCTTCCTTCTGCTCTTGGAAAACAGCAGGACATTCAGGCCCTACGTGCTGGTGGCCATCCAAAAGAGAAGGAAAACCAAGGCCATTGCTTACTGAAAAACAAATGCACACAAGAGAAACAAGAAAGAGATGATGCAGAGAAAATCTGGGCAAGTTAATTGGAGACTAGATAGAAAAGAGTTCATTAAATGTTGAGTGTGGTAGGTGCGTACCCTGTAACTAAATGCATACAATTCTTCAGATTGGACATTTTGCCTTATTATTAGCAACTTAAATATTTAATATGCAAATATGTGTAATACATTAACAAAAACTTTTAGTTACAGTGAGTGACTCCTTAAGATAATGGTCTGTGGTCAGATTAGCAATGGAGTGCTGTTTTATTAATGAAAGATTTTGTTGTTGCTTCTTAAGCATGCTTTATGGGGCTGTCCAAGGGCCTAGATACAGCTGAGATATATGACTGCTAAACAATTGATTGTTTCCCATTAGCCTCATTTCTCAGACAGAAGTATCTCAGAGAGGAATCTGCTTCTCACATCTTTTAAAGGCAGTCCTTTAGAATATTAAAGGTCACCCTAACCTAACCCTACGGTGCCTAATTAGTGATAAGAGTATTGCCACATGGCCTGGGCTGTGGCAAACAGGTTCAGGGCTGAAAGACGACCTTCAACAAGGACATTCTGAGCCATGAGAAAGGCTTACTGGCTCAGGCGGGATCTTTTATTCTGATTTCTCCTGCAAAGAAACCACAGGCGCCCAACGCTCTCAATCTGCTCTGTTTTATCCATACAGGCTCCGGAATCCATCCATTTTCTGAACATTTCTATTGTCCTGAGATACTGTTTTACACAGGAAAATAATCGACTTCTGCTTATCATCTCATTTCTTCGTATAAATAATATACAAAAAATAAAATCACCTGTATCTCTTGAATCGTTCTCGCTTTGTGAATTAATGCTTAAACTCTCACAGGCATCTAAGTTATCCTTCCTATTCTCACAAGCAAAAGACAAGTGTGAATATATTTTAAAGCATTCATTGTTTCGTAAGCAAACAGTATTTGCAGTGAGAGGCAAAATATTTACTTCCCATATAATCATTATTGATAATGCTTCATCATGCAAAATCATTCAAAAGAAAAAAAAAAGAGTCCCCTTCTTAAATGTCTACACCTGTTTGCCTCATGGTGGGGGAGCTGAATAACATTTCAAGTAACATGTTCATTTTTAATCTAATGATACAAAAATAGCATATTTCAATACATTTGTTCTGTAAAGTAACAGCTAACTCTAAAACATGTGGATGAGAAACAGAGTTTTATTTTTCACTAATCTTAAAGCATATTTCAATACATTTGTTCTGTAAAGTAACAGCTAACTCTAAAACATGTGGATGAGAAACAGAGTTTTATTTTTCACTAATCTTAAAGACCCACAACAGTGAAAGAAAACAGTGCTATGAACTAGTCTAGGATTGATGGAAACTTCCAATTCTAGCTAGCTCAATATTCACCCATTGTTAAAAATGCCTTCTCCTGCAGCCTCGCCACAGGCCTTTAAAGATCTGCCTTATTGTATGTAAACTCCCTTCTTCTGATTCATCCTACACTCACTACACCATCAGACACACTGCTGAACACGCTCCACCAACTGACCGAAGATGGAGGTATAATTGTTATCTAAATATAGGCACTAATGACACTGTGATTGGCTACTTGTGTCAATTTAACCCAGCTAGAGTCATCTAAACGGAGGGAACCTCGATTGAGAAATTCCTTCCATAAGACTGAGCTATGGGCAAGTCTGTACGGATTTTAATTAGTAATTGACGACGCAGGAGCGCCCAGGCCACTGTGGGTGGTGCCACCCCTAGGTTGGTGGGCCTGGGTGCTGTAAGAAAGCAGGATCATCAAATGAAGAAGAGAACTGAGTGCTGTAAGAAAGCAGGCTTATCAAACTATGAGAACTGAGTTCTCTTCATTTAATAATCAGGGTTATCAAACCATGAGAAAAAAAAAAAGCTTCTTATGGAGAAGCACACATCCACTGCCTCTGCCTCCAGTTTCCTGCCTTCTTTGAGTTCCTGCCTTGGTTTCCCCCAACAGACTGATTCCGGATATGTAAGCCAACAAACTCTTTTTCCCCCCAAGTTGGTCATGGTATTTCATTACAGCAATAGTAACCCTGGCTGAGATAGGCACTAAAAATGATGCTGCTGGAGCAACCATAAACCGGCAGAGTTCCAAGCACTCCAGACAGCTGGTCACCCAGCATTGACTGTTCATGTCACTGCCTCCAAAAGACAAATTTCAGTTTCCGATGCAGGTGACATCCATCATTATTTGACACTGGCTGTTTCCTCCTTACACCACCTTCTCCTGCCCTCATTCCTTTCTCCATCCAGGCGCCATGGCTATTCCTGGCCCCTGGCTTCCTGCCTTTCCCTGTTCATTCTTCTCCCTCTGTGCAAGCCAACAGCCATGATTTTCAGGATCCTGCCTCATGATCCATCCACCTGCATGCAAGTAGCTTCAGTCCCTAGCTTTCTCCTGATCTCCAGCCTCCTCATTCAGTTGCCCGCTGAGCATCTCTCTGCACGTGTCCCACAGATACTACAAACACATTATGTTCAAAACTGAACCAATCATAGTTCCCCATTCTGAATTTGACCCTCCAGCTCCATCTCTTAGTGAATGACATCATCTTCCAAGCAGGTTTACATCCTGGAAATCTGAGGGTCAACTCATATTCTACCCTCTCCTTACCACCCTCTACCAGACACTTACTCTTTTAATAGATCTCAAAACTGCTCATCTTTGCAGCTCCATGGTTGCTGACATAATTAAGACCATCACCTACTCATGCTTAGATCAGGTTTTCTACTGTGCCCTTTGCTGCCAATCTAGTCTCCGTATTCCCATCACTCTCCGAATTACAGTCGGAGATAGACTCTCTTATCACACTGTGTTTGCATCCATCATTAGCTTCCAGCTCCTCTCCATTCTTCAGAATTGAATCTGAAAGAAGGTTCCTCCAGGAAACCCTTCCCAACCTTCAGGAATCAGATAATACCCACACACATGGAACCACACCAAGTTTTATTACCATCTTCCCTTTTCCCCTTTTATTCAGAATCTCCTATAAAAGGAGAGTGTTTATCATTTATCTGTGAATCCTCGTTATATGCAACATAAAGAGGGTCAGCTCTGTGAGCAAAGAAGTTCATTGAAACCACTAGTACTTTATCAGTGCTACAGCAGGGCACATGATGTCAAAATACTGTTTTTATAGTTTGGTGGTTCCCCCATGTCTGGGGCAGGCTATTTTTTTCTTAAAGCCTTCCTTGCAGCTAACCTTTAATTCCTTTCCACATCTACTAAGAATCTCCCTCTGCTCCCCAGAGAATTTTCTCTAGGAACATTGTATTTCAGATCCTGGTCTCACTGAAGCATTCTGGGTAATGTTCATAGTTCCAAGCCAGAGAGCACAGTGCTAAGAGCACATAGCATAGCAACAGCTCATTCCCTGAAGAAGATTTAAAGCTGCTTTGGAGCAAGTTACTTACCTCACAGCCCATGGAACTCAACAGTGTTTCCCAGATAAATTACTGTGGGTTCAAGGGGAGAATTGAGGTTGCATTTTTCATGTCCTGCCTCCATATATAGCTCTGCCTCTAATCTATAATATCTGAAATAAATTTGCTCCAATCTACATCTTTATTCTGTGCTCAGCATGTAATAGAAGCTCCTAGTGAGAACAGTCCAAACCAGGATCATTGGATTTCACGCTTAATATGATACATATATATTTTTTTCATTAAAGGCAAATTCTTCATACCAGAAGCCTTAACAGACTACTACTATTTAAATAGCACCAAACCTATCAGTGCTATTAAGGCACAAGAAAAGCTGTATGAAGAATGTTTAGCACAATGTAGCATTTTCAACAGCCACATGCTTTTGTTCTCACTCGACTTTTCTTACTTATGGATAGGTTACATTGGACTTGGTGTCCTACCCATAAGAAAGAGTGGTTTACTTTCCTGGTGGTGTTCATAACAATGACAATAGCTGCAATTCATTATTTGTTATCTTTATGTTTATCATGTTCCAGACACTCACATACTCTCTTTATATACTACAATACTTTTTTTTTTTACAACAACTATAAAAAAAAAAAAAAAAAGGAAGAAGTTGAATCTGAGATGCAAAGAAACTAAATGACTTGTGAAGAGGTGGAAACTGGATGGGAGTAAAAATAATCTCTCTGGACTTTAGTTTTCATTCCTGTGCTCTGTGGTTTGCCTCAGCTGTGTAGCAGAGGTTTCAGTATTTGGTATCTAATATCTGTATGACATTCCCCTCAAAGCTCCAGATCCTCACTCTCTTTCCCTTATATCTCTTCTGTACTAAGCCTTCCATGAGCTCAAATTTGCCTCTGTGTTGTCAGACCTTCTTAGACAGCCTAGTGTTGAACCTTAAAGAAAGATGCCCACTGTCCTCATCCTCGTTATCATCGGGGAATGAGCGTTTATGATACAGTTAACTGTACTTTTCCAGCTGTCACTAATATTTGGCTCCTATTTAGTATTTTTCTTGGCCAACATAACAGATCAACCCCTCTGCCATTGTCTTGGAAAGACTCACTCTTTGTCATGCTTCAGCTGTGAAGTCGGCTCACCAAGCAGAGAGCGAGCTCCCCAATTCTAGAGGGTAGCTCACTGCCTCATATGCTGAAACAGGCATCTCCTGGGAGGCCACGCTAGAGAAGCCTGCACTAATAACCCGTGAAATTTCCTAATAAACTAGAAAGTTGGGTTGGAGGATTTTTGTATAAGTGAACAGAAAAAAGAGCCTCTACTGCTTGGTGTTTAAATACTTGACATCCATAGATTCTGGATGTGCATTTCATCTCAGGCAAAACAAAGATAAATCAGTGTGCATGTTTATAAGTCAGTCTTGAGGAAGTGACTTATAAATGAATATCATATGTTTATCTTTACAAAAGAGTAACAAAAGATCCCTTTAATGAAGAAGGGTTGTTTCTTTTTTCTTTTTTTTTTTAAGTGTAACCTATTTTGGCTATTTTAT